ACAAAACTTATCTTATTCAAATATTGTTGTCTGAATGTGTTTGGCCAAACATATATAGAATTTTGTCTGTTGATTTAATCTTCAATAATACACAATGGCTGACAGAAGAGTTACCAATCTGGAAGAATTTGTCCGATTTATATTGGCCAAGTAAGATCCATACCCGGTTAAACAAGGTGTTAGACAGAGCTATCAAAACATACATCATATTACAGTAGCGACAAGCCGCCGTGAGGTCTAACCGACATCATAAGATGTTTACCCGATGTTTTAGAACTTTTCTATTCGCTGCTTGAACTGATATTTGAGATAGAATTCATCGATTTGTCATAAAATATGTTTGGCACCAGCAAATATAACTAAGGATCAAAAGTTATTATCAAATAAATGAAAGAACAAATGAAAGCAACAACAATGAGAACGGTTATTTCCATAAAATTAGTTAAATAGGTCGATGGATTGGCACTTACATCTCTAATCCTTTAAATATATATATGGATGCTGAATTATACTGATATTATTCTATTTAAATTTAGAATCTATACCAAAATATCAAGTTGTTTCTCTATATCCCGCCTAAATATTTTTTTCAAATTGAAGTAAGCAAAACTTCAGATTAATTAAATCAAATTTTGTGTTTGATACTAGTCCATACCGATTTTACAAATTTACTTTGCTGTATTTTGCGCTATTGAAATACACAAAAATTGGGGAGCAGACCTCGTATTTTATTGATCACGTAAAAAATGATTTACAACTCAAACATTGGGATAGATAAAACTCAGCGACGATTAGCAAAACAGTTATGGCCCATGGAGAGCAAGGGCTAAAAATAACAGAACGGCAGTACTTTAAAAAGGCGTAGACTTAAGAAATGTGTTGTTATGGGTTTTATTCTTCGGGGGAAACAACAAAACCTTCAAACAACGATATTTCAATGTTTTTGTTTCCGCTAAAAATGCGTTTTCATGGGACCGTCCTGCTAGGAAATAAGAAATGATATCGCGTTTTATAAGTGCTAGGATAATACAAGACTTATCTTTAAGATGAATTAAATTATTAGGTATCAAAAAGTGAACAACAGAAGTTGCCACTTCAATAGATATTGTATGAAGTGTTTGATACCCGAGATTCATGACCTCACTACATTACCTATGATACAGCCACCTCAGACTTTGTGTCATTTGTGAAGCCAGAAAATTAATTCCGGAACTGCCTTTGACGGAGCTGTTGAGTAAAACGGCTGTTATAGATTTTGTCTACAAAGAGAACATAAACTGTTTATTTATTGGAACAAAGTGTAAACATGGATCGTTTTGTTATTATGTTGTTGTTTTTCTTGTTATTGCTTTTCTCATTAACTACTGGACCAGCTGTTTTGAAATTTTTAGTGGTTTTAAAGATTGAATTTTCCGTTCGGAGGCTATTACTTCAATTAATTTAAAATCACTTTTAAATTTTGAGTGATGACCTCTTTTAAAATTCATAAAAATTATTTGTAGCGGTTCTGCGACCTATCTCGTGCTACGCGAAAGTTTTTTGACCTTCCGTACAGTAGACTAGATAAAGTACTGTATAAGCATAAGGGAAGGTGGTAGACTACTGCTTCTCTTTGTCTTTCGTGTCCATATATTTGAGCATCGCTCTCTTCTTTTTGGTCGTTGATCATTTAGCTTATTTGCCAGTATCGTATGCTCAGCTTTGGCTTTCGTGTTCATATAATTAAGTATAGCTCTCTCGTTTTTTGTTGATATTTCAGCTTATTTGCGAGTATAAAAAACATGTTTTAAATAGCGTTTTTTATATAAACAATATTTATTAAAACACATTGATAAAAACTATGCTCCAATATATGGACACTTAGAATAAAGCGAAATATATTATCATCACTTCACCGAAAACCATAGGGTACCCTACGCCTGCACGAAGCTGAACTGTGAAACAGCTACATGACTATGGTAACTGACTTACTAATACTTGGGTACAAATAACGGTACAGGGAGTGTCATAGCTCTTCCATGTCCTGTGGTAATGATCTATTCTTCTCCATCCAATTTCAACGTGAATTTAAATACCAAGTGATCCGAGTCACTTCTCCATTACGGTATGCGGTACGGTAACTTACCAGTGCCTGATATTCGTTCGCGGAACGGTTCTTCCTTGTCCTATAAGAACTCAATTCATTTCCTTCTATCAAATTAAAAAATAAGGTAGGCTACAAAATTTATGTTGTTTACATCAGAACTGTAACGAAAAGATGAGAGCGTAATTCACAGAGGTACCGACACCGTACGGTATACCTTACCAGTACCTGTTGCTGTACTGCAGGCCTGATATTCGATCGTGGAACGGTTGTTCTCTGGCATATCAAAACTCAATTCAATTTGCTCTTATCAAAATTAACCAATACGGTAGGCTAGACCTGCTAGAAAACCTAAATTTGACATTACTGCCTAGGTAAGATCGCGAAAGGAATAAGTCAATTTCACTGTGGTACGGTAACTGAGCAGTACCGTACCTGCAGGCTTGATCATGCAACCGCTTGAAATAAGTTTCAAAACACTGTTCCCATGAGTAAATTTTGAATGAAATATCAGATCTCATAGAATTCATAGAAAATTTAGAAATAAATAAAAGTAATAGCCTTCTGGAAAAAAATCAAACTTTAACCACTGAAAATTTCAAAGCAATTGGTCCAGTATTCGAAGAGAAAAGCGATTTGATAATGATGGTGACGAAGAAGAACAATAACAACAACCTAATATTAAAACGATCGTTATGTCGACTAAAGTGTCCAATAAACGGATATCCAATATACTTGTAAGCAAAAGTAATTTGAATGCATATCATAAAATTTGTATGAATGGAGCAGTCGTTGTTGTGAAAGAATCGCTTTTCTCTTTAACTACTTGACCAATACGTTGAAATTTTCATAGTTAAAGATTGTATTATTCGCTAGTAGGCTATTACTCTTATTTATTTCAAAAATTGCTGTGGGCTCTATGCGATTCGTTTTTTGTGTGCGATGACGTCATCAAAATTAGAAAATTGCGCACCTTGTGGCGGTACTGGTCAGTCGAAGCCGTGAAGACTGAAGTACGGCTCCTCTACTGCAGCAGATTGCATACACGTACTATTCCATGTCCATATATTTCAGATTTTTCTATTTAGTATTGGACTAATCGTTTTCAAATTGTAGTTGTAAAAAATGATGTGCCTCCCAGAACTCTTTTTTGGCGCGATATATGGCAACAATTGGCGGGACCAAAAACTTGGATTCATGTTGCAGTCATTATCGAGTTGGTCAAGAAGCAGTCCATCAAGCGAGTAGTTGTCTCATGCATAATTACAGTACAAGATTAGAGCCTCACGATTGATGTCGTATTTGAGCTAATTTCAACGACACATGTTTCTCACTGAACTCGATATTGCTACGACTTAATCATAGGTATTAACTTTGGACACAGGGATTTTTTCGCCCTGGAGTAATACACGATTTTATATCCATGCTTTATATAATGTATATAATAATTACATGAATGAAATTAGAATTTTTATAAAGTTTTCATAACACGGAAAGCTGAATCATGGTTTCACTTTCGATCATTCCGTAAAATTCATTTTCTTGTTTTGTACTTTTTAATATATGTGCGTCAGATTACCTAAATTCGATTGGATTTCATTAACAAAAATCATTCCAATACTCGTATATTAAAAGTAACAATCTGATGTTTATTTAACAGGTACTTTTATCTGAAACAAAATCAGAAACTTTTTATTTATACGTAATGATGATAAAACTTGCCGACGAAGCGTGATTTGGTATTAAAAAAGTAAATCGAATTAAAATATCTGATCCAAAAAGATTCACAACATAATAATTCCAAGAATTTTAATTAGATTATTATTATTTGAAAACAAAGGAATGAGTCAGTTTTTTATTAAGAATGAAAGAATTCAATGCAAGCTTTACAAATAATATATCTTCTATAATCATGGATAATTGCTATTGCTTGTTAGCCTATTTGAATATATATATTATTATTTGTTTTCCGTATATAAAATAGTACTCATAGCATTACTCGACAAAAATAATTTTAAGCCATATTGAGAATGAATCGAAACAAATATTCATCTTTGTCACTTCACGAAAATTCAATAAACCGCCCGGGGGTGAAAAATACACAGCACTCTTATCTCGCTTGAACTGTTTTTTATTAACTTTTGAACTATGGAGTATTTTATAGTTCAAAACAACGTAGCGTGGATGAGTACTAATCCGTAAAAGATAGAGCTGATTGACCAGAGAAAAAGCAAACTAAAATGTATTTATTAATATGCTTTTAAAAATATGCAGCAATAGATAGTTGACAAAAAGCATATGCATTTCATACAACACTAGAAACCTAGTGTCAAAAATGTACTTTATCCCTGTTTAAAATTGGCAGAAAACTTTTTTAACAGTATATTTTAGAACCTCAGGGAAGATCCAAAATGAAACTGTCCTGTGAAGCGAATTAATTACCATTATTAATATTCAAATAGAAGCATGCTGTATTTTACTTGTAAACAGAGAGCTATAAGACCGCTTAACACGAGTCATTACTGCGGACGGTGATTCAAAAAAGCCTTAGGCAAGATGATTGAACTTGTCTAAAAATTGTCTAAATTGAACTCTTTTCTGGGTGGGTGAAGGACAAATCAGCGCACATAGCCAGATTTTGAAAGCCTAAAATCCCCTCCCCCCTCACCTAAGGGCTTGTTCCGGTTGTATCGATATCTTATTGCAATCCGTGAATTTGTGGTAGTTCCTGTCTTTTCATGCAATAATTAAATTTTTTCTAATCACGATCTTTGTGGTTTACATTTTTGCACTAATGTATAGTCACGCGGGGTTTTTGATAGTTATATTTTAATTGAATACTCGAATAATATAAATACATCGCAAGAGTGAGCCATGCCAGAATAAGACAGTATTGCACCTAATCTCTACATTGAAGAGACGTGTGAATTAATTATATTTTAAACAATTAACTTGATTTGATATACAGGGCGGCTTTATCATCGATGCTATAATGAAGTCAATTATCTTAGTTTTCTGCATTTTCATCGGCTTTTTTGCTCAGTATGTCTCCGCTCAGTGGGTCTTTGGAGCAAGTAAGTAAATTATATTGTTTAGATGCTCGAAGTGAGATCATTAATTTCCATCCTAAACCGGAGGTATCACTGATACAAGACTTTCAAAAAAATTTGTTGAAGTCTCAAGACTTAAATTTGAAGTTGCTGATGCAGCAGAATATTTATTTAATATATCGTCACGCTAATAACCGAATTGCGTAAGTCATTTTTAGCAGTTTTGAGAAAAACGTAAAACACTTCCTAATGATATTGTTTTTCCAATTCAAATTTATAAGCGCTAAGCTAGAATCTGATGGGCAAAAACTCGAAAATCTTCCGTCAAGGTTATTTTGCCCTTAAATCTGAGTTAACAGACAGGTGCGCAGCATTACATAAATACCTATTTTATTAAAAACTCAAAACCGCCAAAAATGACTTACGCAATTCGGTTTGTTAGCCTGACGATATGTGAAAGCTGTTGTATAATTAGTATATATTGCTAGAATTGGCTCAGGGTTCGTCGAACTGGACAACAGTAGAAGTTATAGTCCAGCTAAATTTGTAAGTACATGCAATTGAGGGATCCATGTTAGGATTGAATTTGGGTTCTACAAAAACTAAAATTTCAATTTAAAAATTAATCATTGGGCCCGAAGAAAAAGAGTCGAAAAAAGTTAATAGTAAACATCAAATTATATTCAAACAAATACAAAAATCTATCCACGTGAGAGTTGTTGTTTCTAAATGTTTCCACTAAAACCTGCTCGGCGCCCACTCATTTAGCCCCAAGCAAAGTGCACACAATATGTTTATAAAAAAATTTTTAAGGATCTTCAGATATCATCAAAATTATATCGTTAAAATAACCAAAGTCATGGACTTGTTAATGAAAAATTAGATAATTGGAAATAATGTAAGAAACGTTTTGAATTGATCTTTCATTTCAGAACAACTTATTGTTGCTCACCCCAGACTCGCTTCTGGTGGCAGATTTTTCGTACATAAGAAGTGTAATATATATTATCATAATCTTTATGACAACGAAAAATAGACAGTCGTAAATATTACTCAATAGTGGTATTTAGTCATACTTTGATTTTACTCTCAAAGAAAGTACGATCTGAAGGTATATCAAACGTGGACGTACACCATATTCATACATTTGGATGATGAATTACAATATATATTACTTGCATTGTTATTGAGTTTGTAGGCCTATATGAAGACATCGTAAACGTGTGATAACTCATTTCTATGTCAATTATTTTATTTTAGGAACCTGCCTTTTAAATTGCAATGATAGAGGAAGAGCCTTCGGGTCTATTCTCAGTACCTGCAGTTGTCACGAGTCATGCGAAGCAGAAGGAAGGTGCTGCAATGACTACTGGACCTACTGCTGTAAGCTTCTTTAAAATATCACGCGCTTGCTTACCAATGTCATCAATGATATTATTACTAAATCAGGATAATTGGGTAGGGCTGGGAATGGTTAACCGGTTTTAGATGGTTAACGGTTACGATTTATTTTAATCGTTAACTGACATCTCAGGTACAAATCATCTTTATAATGTACAATTCTTTCAAAAATGATTACGTCATCGCGAATTTATCTCATGTTTTGTTTAATTCAAAAGAATATCGCTAACTATATTGGTGAGGACCTAATAAATGTGAAAAATAATTGAAGTACCAAAATTGCTGATTATGAAAATCTTACAATAATTAATTATGAATCAGTTTTCGGTCGAAATATATTGTTCACGACTTTATTTCAAAATCGTATATTCAATGTCAACCAACAAGTGCGTAGTTGATGCGTTTTTCTTCATATATCTCTAAGTAGAATTCGCACATCAAACACTGAAAAGTTGTCACATAAATGACATTTCATAACGGAATCGGGTTTTACTGAAATACTTCCATATGTCCTACCCACGCTGCATATATCTTGCAGCAGAGCGATCACGAAACTATCTCGATTCGTGAATAATTTTGAGCGATACCGGGATAAGTCTCGCGAAATTGCTTTGTAACCATTGTGACGTAACAAGCTAAAATTATAAATTATTATGTGAAACGCCACGCTGTGGTTAAACGGTTAATTTTACCCGATTAACGGTTAAAGTGTTTTTCATAAAATTCCCAGCCCTAGTATTGAGCTATGCAAAGAGCATGTTCTTGTTATAGACCGTTATTAAAAGTCATGTGGGACATTCAAGTTGCTTAAGCATGAGTTTATAGGAGTTGTCCCGCATCGAAACAACAGAACGTGTATTGTATACGCTTATAGGTATTAAACATGTAGGATAGATGTAATCTGTATGCGTCAATGAATTTTCTGTATCAACAACAATTTTTTATATAGAATTCGTTTCATCAAAATCAAGTTGGGATCGATTTTTTAACATTTATTTAATAACAGATCATGTAATCAGATCTATCGGACTCATGTTTTATAATAAGCTGTTTACTTGATTCCTGATAACATCTTTGCAATATCGGCTGTTTCACGATATATATTACAAAATTCGTGTCTGAAAATATCTCAAGGCTCTAATTAAATTTATTGGTTTTGAAAGAATTTGACTTTTTACTTCCGTTCTCGAGTGGGTGTCCTGTTGTAATTGTTATAAATGTTAACTCAACTTAAATGTACGTCTGTATATCGCTTGTGTCCGCAGTCTTGGCCAAAACTTCAATAAAACAATAATACTCTTTTTTCAAATTGATCACAATATGAGTCTGATTTTCAATTTTTGTATTATAGCTCATTTGGTAATAGATGAAAATTAATTTATTACAGCGAAATCGTGTTACACCAGATGTGGCGATGGATATCACCCATTGCAGCAGTGTCAGTGTTACGACAATTGTACAGCTGATCACTGTTGCGAAGACTATAAACAAATTTGCGGTAAGCGTTGTTGTTTGGTGATTAAATGGCATAATTTTATAATCTCACCTATGGTACCTTTCTAGTCGGTAGAATAACAAAAAGTGCCTATTTCAGCAAATTGAGCAATGCGGTTTGTAGTTAAAGCAAACTAAACTCTAATTTATGATTGTTATGTCAAACGTCGGAAAAAATATGTTCTTTCTCGACTTTAAACAATAATACTGTACCGGACTGCAACAGTACAGTACTGGACTTTCTGTCATCTCATCCTTAATCTAGGTTCCAATTGTTTATAAATATGACATTTCCAATTTAGTCCAAAACATAATACCTACCTTCACGAACAAAGCTACAACCATGAAGCCAACGGAAGCACCTTCTACTGTATCGACCACTCCACGGCCAAAAGAAAAGGGTTACAGTTATCTAACGGGTAGGATATACATCATTCGATTTCATATATTATAAAAAGATATAATGTCTAAGGCTTACATTTTGTTTTCTTTTTTCTAGATCGTATGATTGAATGTGAAAAGGGTGTGCCATTCACACCATGCCCTATCAACCCGTGTGAACGGTCTTGTGCCAAGCATCCAGACTCTCTCTGTCTGATTACAGAATGTGGATCATGTGAAGCAAAACACTTTGATTTATACGGAAATGAAGTGAACTGCTATGATCCAGGTAATATATGAAATGGGGAGTTTGGTGGTCGAAAGAGGCAGTTATAAAGTCAGATGAGTTCTTTTCGAAACAATCTTTTGAGATATTGATTTAAATTAATTGTGCCAAATTGTGAGAGAAACGAAATTGTGAGCATTCACTATATTCACAAAAGATCACGAAATAGACCACTTGATTTTTTCTTAAAGGTGGTGTGTCGGAAAATGTGTGTTTTTGTTTTAACCTCTTCATGAAAATCGAGAGTACAATTAGTATATTCAACCTTGACTCGAATGAACCAATTTATAAATACCGTACATTTTGAATAAATTAAACATATAAATAACACAATGTTCCCAAAAAGCCAATCAAGATAATTCGAGCTTCGTGAGAGGTTTTTCCTTCTTCTCTCTTATCATGGTTCTGGACAAAAAGAAAATTATTCACTATTATGCAAGTAGTTGCTTTTTTTTTGGTAAGGTCCTTCTCCGAGCATACACAATAAATATTGATTCATTTTTTTGCAGAACATCATTGTCCAAATGGGCAACCAATATTTGATTGCGGAGACTTAGATTTGTGCTTGGGTACCACTTGCCCCGGATTTCCTCGTGCTGTCTGTGTTCCTAATAAGTGTGGTGGATGCTATTATGACTTTGTGGACGGAAAAGGAAACCCAGTAAATTGTGAAATAGAATGTAAGTGTAAAGCTAAGAGTGTTCAAGTATTGTTACTGATGATTTAAACTCAACTACAATTTACCACTAACTAAAAGCGTGATAACATTTGTACTAATGATGGTCATACGCAACCTTCTATTCAATATTTTTTTGTTGAAAGTTATGGTTTCTGCATAACAAAGTATATCTCGTATACATGAATTATTATCCAGTATATCCATACCTTCAAATATTTTTAGAGCAAGGTGATAGGATTACTTATTAACTTCAGCACGAATAGAATACCAAATTTTACAAAAAAAAAAAAATTTTATAATCGGTTTATCCCCAAAACTTGTTATCAAATGCATTTTGTTTTTTATATTTTTACTTTAATAATTAATTAGCGCTTCATTTCGGGCTAAAATTATCTTGTATACAAAAGACTAATTGTACAAATAACAGTACCGCAAAGAAAATGTAAAAACGGATTGGAAGAAATGGAATGCGACCCACTGCCATGTAGCGGAAAAGTCTGCGCTGCCGATATCACCGCTACCTGTCGCAACGTTGTGTGTGGAGAATGCAAAGCTGAATTTTATGACATGTTCGAACGTATTGTTGACTGCAACGCAACAGGTGAGATAGTACTGTTTTGTCAAATGTTTTGCAATAGATTAAGTACAAAATAGAATTATGAATTTAACCCCCTTTTCAACGATTTTTCAATCTGTTTCCTGTAGCATCGTCTATTTGTCCTGACACGTGTTACCGAAATCCATGCAGAGGAGCCGTTTGTCAGGCACATCCGAAAGCAAAGTGTTCACCACGTAAAACATTAAGATGTGGAGCCTGTGAACCATCTTTTTATCTTGACGGAAAGCGACTGAAGGACATTGATTGTGTCATACCAGGTGAGGCCGAAATTCATACAGAGCAGTCCAATAATATGAAAACATAATAGAGCTCCCCCGAGTAGAACATTGCTGCCACACAGGGACGAGTCTAGAGAGAGGTAATAGGGGCAGACCCCGTAATAAGGGTGAGTTTGATAATTACATAATAATAATAATACAAACATTTCACTCTTACTTGTCCTTTAATTTATTTATTCTCATGTACAACAACATCTACAAGTTATTCATTTCCTAAATAATTTTGGAAGTTAGGTATAAAGGGCATCACTATCAGCAACTCGCTCCGGGCAGCAGAAAAATTTGACACGCTCATGCTGACACAAATTGACTTGTGCTGCTTTGAGTGCCTGGCCAAGTTCAAATATGTTTTTTATTAACGATTTAGAGGTTGCTGGCCTATTTTAATAAGAAACTACAATTAAATAATCATATCATATCTGTTTTGTATAAAAGTTTTATACCTAAATAATTTTCTTCCATTTGTAGATCAATGTATAGACAAAACGCCGTGTGACAGGGATCCATGTCTTATGCACACTTGTCCGGGAAAAGACATGATCTGTATAGCAAATTATTGTGACGGGTGCAATCCCCTGTTCTTCGATAAGGAGGGAGAGCGAATCCACCAGGAAGATTGCTACGATATTTGTAAATATGATTTTTGTCAAAATATAGTTGACCTTCAAAAAGTGTTTATATTTAGTGCAAATGAGACTATCAGAATCTTCCTGGCAAACAAAAATTTCACAAAAATAACATGTTTGTTCGAATATTATAACTCAGAAATGCTTATTCGTGGGACGATAAAGCATAGTATAAACAGACTGTGTCATTTTGTTTGTCACGATTAAACAACAACAATAACTTCTACCAAGCATTGAATATTAATAATATGCAAATAAGAAGGCGAAAGTAGGAGAATGGCATGTTTTCATGGAGCCGGGGTCGTATTTTCAAACTCTCCGGAAACGGGAGTCAGAATTTCATACTGCTCTAGGTGATAATTGTACAAAAACTCAAAAAGGGGAAAGTTATTTACAGGCTCCTACCAGCCTACTGAAATGCGTTTCATACGCTGGGGTTTTTGTTATTAAAATTTGATTTTCTCGGAAGTTCAAAGCGGGGGTCGAATTTTTATCAACCTGACGGTAGTGCCAAGAATTTTTTTCTGGGAGTCAATATTTTTAAATCCGGAGTCGGTGGTGAATTTCTACCGACTCCCCAGCCTTGCAAATAACATTGTGATAAATAATATATTTACACTTTATCAAACATTGTTCAGCTTCTCTGAATTTGAGGAAGTGTCCCGATGGCAAAGCACCACAGGTATGCCCCATTGATCTTTGTGTCGGTCAGAAATGTGGCGGCCGGTATTCAGCTGTGTGCCGACCTGATGAATGCAATAACTGCGAATTGATGTTTTTTGACGAAGAGGATAATTTACTTGATTGCAAAGGTAATGTTTTGGCAATAAACGAGAGAGTAAATAGATGCGACACCGAGATAAGTCGGAACCACAAATGTCAGACAAGAGCAGCATAGATAACAAGACAAGTAAAATTATAAACAGAAGCGAGACAGACAGACAAACGTGTTTCCCTTATCTCCTACAATCTGCTAATAACAATTAATAATTTTGTTCAGAGGAAAAAATTACGTGCAAGGATGGGCGTGAGCCTCTGAATTGTGACTTCACCGTGTGTGAATCGGTTGAGTGTCCAGGCCATGACTTTGCTGAATGTATTCCAGATCAATGCGATGAGTGCAAAGTACGGTTTTATGGTGAAAATATGGAGGAACTTGAGTGCGTTGAAGGTGAATATCCTCAAGCTCAAGTATAATCATCACTCTATAAATAGTTAGTAATGCTGGTGTTCCAGACTGAAATCTTTTCTGCATACAAATATTAGTTATTACTGATATATACATTCAGTTGAACCAAATCCGGAATATATGGACACGGAAGTCCTATAACTGTGGTAGCGCAGCAGTAACATACGATACCTCCTCACAAAACTGGTATCGGATCATTCAAATCACGCCCCATCACCACAGTAATTCACCTAGGTACCGACAAGGCGTGAGATGAACACAGGGTTTTTCGAGAAAATGGCGGACTAGACTGGCATAATACCACGGAGGTCAAATGTCAAAACAGTGTTACCATGAATTGAAATGAAACAGCCACATTCAGGTGAAATATCGAGAACTTATTAGGCCTTATAAATATTTTGTGAAACGATTAATAGCCTTTTGAAGATTTCTTCCATCTTCAAGTAAGCAAAATTTGGCGACGCGATCCATAGGACCATTTCGTGTCCAATACGAAAAAGGGAAGCATATTGTTGATAACATTAAATTATCAAAAATCAATCTATAATTATTATAGAAGTGACTACTACTGCTGAAACAAAGCCTACACCAAGTCCTTGTCCTAACGGACAACCACGTAAAGAATGCAGCAGTCAATTATGCAAAACTACGAGTTGCGAATCAGACCCAGAAGCCATTTGCAAGATGAACCCATGTAACGATTGTGAACTCTTGTTTTTCGACTCCAGAGGAAGACGCATAAGTTGCGATCCTAAATTGGCGGGTAAGATGGTTATTTTTGATGTTAATATTAGATTCGGGCATTTTGAATGTTAAAATATTTAAACAAGCTTGTGCAATTTACAGGTACGTGTGAAGGAGAATGTGGCAACGTTCATAATAAAACTAGACCTTGCCATTGTGATTATGGATGCAAAGAAAGAGGAGATTGCTGCGCTGATTTCAAGCAAATGTGTAAGATTGCTGGAAGTTTTATTCTATTTCTGATTTTTGAAATTTGTAATTTCATTCTTATGAAATTTTAAAAAATACTACATGATATTTTGTTCGAATAAACGGAATTTGACAACAAACTTTAAAGTAGTTTGCAATATTGGCGACCTGGCGAGTTACAAAGTCATAACAACGAGATATTCCAGACACAATTTAAATGCTTTTATATGTCAGTATCACACTGTATCACATAGTACAGTATAATGGCATCAGTAATCTGGCGTTAGCCATTATGTAGCGTAAAAATCAGTTCAAAGATGGCAACTCATAAAAATATCTGTTTACAAAAATAGTTCAAATAATCTTGCACATCCCGAAGACGGAAGCATCCAAAACAACAAAGCAATTTAGATTATTGACTATACTAGACACAATCCACCAAGCCATTCGGATTTATTTGTTCGCCATATATCAAGCCTATTTGCAATCAATCAATTTATGTTATCAGGTGAGACATGTGAAGGCAGATGTGGCGTATACAAATCGTTTGCTACATGCCAATGCACCGCTGATTGCAGGAAAAACGGGGATTGCTGCCACGATTTCGGTGACAAGTGTGAGTAATCACGAAGCCCAATATGAACTCGGTGTTTTTTGTTTGCACATGTGCTTTAAATACTCTGTGTTAATTTTACAAGCAATTAATACATGTTTATTTGAATTACTTAGGTTTGACAAGATCATGCAAAGGGATATGTAATTCGCAATGGAACTTGCTGGAACTGTGCCAATGCCATCCACGATGCGTTCGAAACAGAAATTGCTGTATGGATTACGCCAAGGAATGTGCGTAATTTGCCAAAATCCATCGGAATATATTCTGTTGTATATATGTTTGATTTCTGTTGCCAAGTTAATCACTTTCATTTGTTGAATTGAAAATAAAGTACATTGCTTTTAATGATCACTTCATCAAATTCACTTTGTGTACGATGGTAAATAAATGGATAAGAATGCATTGTTGTGATGATAAGCGCATTTGGCTCAAGGAAACATACCCATCGGTCTCTGTAAAAATATAAACTAAATAGTCACCTTATATGTTTCTTCCCAATGCTTGGAGAAGCAAGCATTATTGTGTGCTGTCCAAACGTCACACTTATATATCTAACGTGCCCGAGTAGCCAGAATTGTGTTCATTAGGACTTCCATTGAAAGAAGATATGCTATGGAACTGAAGCGTTTGTGTTTTAAACAAAAACATGACGTTTGGCGAGAGATTTATTGTACGCCATTTGAGGTCGTATTGGAGTAAGAAGTAAACTAGAATTTTGTTAAAGGAATCAAGCTCATTCTTTTAGTCTTCCAATGCTAATCGATGCTAATTTTTGTTCATTTAAAACTTGATGTTCTGAATTGATTTTATAACAGTTGGAGCAAAATATGTTGGGAAATAAATTAGGATTGCGCCATCAGATATTCTGTATCTAAATATTTAACCTATCATTCGCTTTATTAGGAAAGTTGCAACATTACCTACAAGTAATGATATAGTTTCGGAATATTATGGAAAGTGTGAGTTAATTTTAAATAGATGCAATATTTCAAATATTTGTTTTTGTGACAAAAAATGAAAAACTGACGCTTAAGCGCTAAAAAATGAATCCTGGTTGTTCTTCCAAATTAAAATGAGTTTGTTGAATACTTTTAACAGATATGTCGAATGTTATTCCCGACCATTTCATGACAACCTTTATTCGTTGATTGGACAAGTACCAAATGCTTCTGGATATATGAATTGTTATACCAACCGATCTACAAATTTATAGGAGTTTTTTTTATGTTTTTGATGAGTTAATTTCAATAACGATTGGTATGACGCTGATTTGAGTAAATCGTGATCGACCATGCTCTGCGGGGGATCATTGATTAAATTTGCTCCACTGACATTTGACAAAAAAACACAAAATAAACATTTTGCATGCCGTGCCCATAGCTTCTTTTAATCTTAGCGTCATCTCTGCATAATCTGTACAGGTGTTTTAAGTGACTAGTGTATAAGTATTTAATATAATAATTCGCCTAAAATAAGCAATCGATGGCGCAGTTGGATTTATGGGCAATTTTCTCTCTTCAGAGAATAAACGTTCTGTTTTGAAACATAAATCACGTATCTCCTCTAATTTAAAAAGAAGCATCATATATATCTTTGTTTTCCTTTTTTCAACTGAGCTTCCCGTTCTTTTAAATTTCGCAAACGACCGTTTATCAAGTTTAATAGTTTTTTTGTCATCGAATGACGTGTTGTCAAAATAGTTATGGGTTGTTCTCTTTATCACAGTTAATATTTGTGATGCTGAGACTGAGAATAAATTAAATCAAAACAACAATACTAAATATCACAAAATCAAATGTACTATTGTCTCAGATAGCTAATACAACACAGACAATATAATGAGATTCAGATTTGTGTCCAATAATTTCAACCGTTCCCCGTCCTTCGGAAACTTAGTAGCCTGAGAATATAATTTCCTCATTTTAAATATTCAATAGTGTGATATTGATAACCTTCAATTTGGAACAAAGACAATCGCGTCCTTAAACTTTGATTTTGCTCTAATATGTCCATTTTTAATTAGTGATCAACAAGCAGTAGAAATACCAAATTTACTTTCGTAGAAAATGAAAAAACATAAAATATCGGATATTCGACGTGAATGCAACATTTTTTTGCAGCACTAGGCACCTGTGATATTTTTTGTTAAAAAATGCCGGCTTCTATATTGCTATATTTACATTATACACCTTGGTAATTAAATAAACCTATTTGTGTGAAGCTTTCATGCGATGCACAACGAGTACGCCAGATGTAGAATAAAAAATTCTTGTCAATTTTTATCAGAATCATTTTCGATTGCCTATTAGTATAAAACTTGGCCAAAGAATGATATCTATCTCGTAATGTATCGCCTAACAAAGATTAATAAATTTTACTCAAGTTTTGAAAGTGGGCCAGAAGAAAGAAATATCTGGCCAAACAAAATGGATAATTTAGTAGAAATTTACATGTAACAAAAACGACTTTACGCCAGTGGTTCTCAAACTTCTTGATATTGAGACGCCCTCGGAAAAATATGATCAAGTTAGTAAATTATGCCTGAAGAGAACTGCCGCGGTGTCAATATTGAATACTTCGAATCAACGCGTAGAAGAAGTGCAGAACGTCGCTCAACAACGCTCGATATGCCCATGTTCAGGGAAGGATTAGAAATGAATGACATGCATGACACATGCGTGTGTGTGATGTCATAATTGAAACAGCAATAAATGACCCGTGACGTCAGTGAGGTTACGTATAGATAAGGTTGATTGTTAATATATTGTCATCTCTCCTCCAGTGTGATTCAAACGAGAATTTTGACGCACCGCAGGTACAGTTCCACAAAAAAAGAAAAGTTATGCGACGCCCTAGCAAAATTGAAACGACGCACTTGGGCAACGCGACGCCCACTTTGAGAACACCGGCTTTACGCAATATAATGGCTGTTTTTATTAGAACTAGACAGTTTATAAATACGTTCATAGTAGTTCTTCATTTTTGTTTTAAGCTTTTCGTGGGCACGAAGTATCATCTCACATTCGTAGCAAATTACACATGGAATACAATGGAACAATGTTCCAATACAACTGTTGTTTTTCATTGCAACATAATAAGGGCAAGGGAAGTGCAAAGCAATAAATAGGATGATCAAATAACAGTTACGGCATTTTATTGTTTGCATATCACTATGAATTCCTCCAATCCGAGTAATAACTGTATTTACGTAATGAACCCTTTATTTAGTGCCGTATTGGACTAGAAATAATCTCGGTCTGTACACTCATTGTGAATCAGGTTTCTCACTTACAAATACTTTTCTTTAGCTCGAAAAACTTTTTCCTACAATATTAACTAAATCATTAACCGTCAAAGTGACATAAATGAAGAGAATGGTGTTAAAATTTTAACCAGGTTCTTTAAACATGTGCGATACAACATTCTGGTGTTTATGACAAATACCAACAAGCAACAACTATGAAATAACATTTTTACTTCATTACCTATTAATGTAATATTTTTAAACTCATGTGTATAACGCTAGATGGAAGTCGTAGTCAACACCATTCAAACGTCACTGCACTTTTTTACACACAGAGATCCACTGACACTAGTACACTCTGGCCGAACCCTAATATTTTAACGTACACTTGAATCGAATTGGTCTAACTTCAAAACAAATTTTGCGCTCATTTATATAATATTGTGATTACTCAATGCCGAATTCAATCACTTGATAAAATATTGATGACTCGATGATACTTCGAAAAGACGAATCATCGCAGATACTCAGAAGTTAGGAGGATTCGTTTATTTTGCTAATGCGGGGCGGTGTGTTCATTTTATATTTTGTAACACATTCACTATTTTTGAAATTATCGATTAAAAATTTTCGACGATGATTTCGTGTAGAGACGTGTTGATGCATAAATCCGTATATAGAAGACTAATTTGTGCGCTAATAGGCGCGTAGCTGTCAATACGTCAAGCCTCACTACATGAAATGACTTCATGAAATGAGATTAAATTATTTACCGCACACTTGGCTTCATCTCTCGCTCTGTTTGCTTTTTAAATCTCGCTACAAACACATCCGCTTTCGCTTTGTCTTTTGTCCGATTTTGTTTATTGGACACGTTCATTCTTTAAGCTTTGTTTTGATCCATTGCATACAAGAAAGCTATAAAAAATAACCAGTCGTATGCACATTTCAGGATGATTCAATTTGTACTTATTTTCTTTGTATAGTTTAAACGTGATTTCAGTGCGTTAAAGAGTTGAGCATGTTTTTGAACATCATTTGAATGTGACAATTTCAAGTCAAAATTTAAAACAAAATGAATGACCACATTTATTTATAAAAACTGATTAATTTACCAATTTTTTAATATTATTTTTCCGTGCAAGAAATCGTTTTCTCTTTTCTATATGTTCTCGAATCTATGCACTGTCATTTTAGTTGATGGAGTGACCCCGAATCAACGAATAATGGCACAGCGGGACACTAGCGCAGCGCAGCAACCTCGGCGCTGGTGTAACCGCGAACGCCTGAAAGCTTAAGTACTATTTCTCAGCCACCCACGGTTTATCCGTCAAAATATCTCTAAGCGATTTTTTATTTAAACACCATTTCCTTTTTGATCGTTGCCCGCTACTCATTCACAATAAATATAATACTAAAATCGGAGTTGACGTCGAAAATATTTTGAGACATATTGTCAGAAGAAATGGCGCCAGGAAAAATACCAGATGATCCCTTTTTCAATTATATCATACCAAGCGGTGTCACTTTAACATGAGATACTATAAATAATATTTTGACTAGAGAAGTAACATTGTTCTTGAATAAGTCTTTTATCATACATAGAATTCCAAGTTGCTTCGGTTGTCACAACATTTAAACTACACAAATTCCGCATTTAATGTTACTACTCGAATATACCCATATGCGAATGTCTTAAACTTGAGTGTCAAATATGAATCCATTGAGGCATTTTGTAAAAAATAGAGCACGAGTTTGAAATCAAGTGTATTTTTATATTTTTATCTTTTTGGTTTTAAAAATGTTCTTAAGACAGATTTGTTTAAGATTACGGTGATTTGGAACAATTACATTTCGTGTAAGCTTCAAATTGTATGGGAGCCTACTTCTAGTCCAATCCAAACTACTGAATTATTTTTCGTTTATTTTCAAATTATTTAAGAGGCCAAAATATTGACTCTGATCATTTGACTAATCTGGAAAAATTATGACTCAAGTAATTAAAAATTTGTCGGAAAAATGTTTGACTTATACATCTGTTTTTGAACAATGTTTAGTTCAACAAACGTTTCCACAAAAAATCCCCATAAACAAATTCCGCCTATATTGTGAAACATTATATAAATCTAAATAATTAAAAAAAATGGCCGTGTTGCCAAGAGGGTTATAGGCTTCAGTTTAGTCGGCCCTGTGTTTCTTTATAAAATGTCTGTTTTATAGCAAATTTTTGCGTCATCGACTCTCATGTCTGAATATACTTGATGGACATCTCTCATCTTGGATGTACAAACTCTAACGACCGAAGTTTTAATAAAAAAGTCCATTGCACACGAAAATATGAAAAATAGAGACGTTTGGCGAGCACAACATCAAATTAAGAATAAATCAAATGCACTATTTGTGTCCGCTAAAAGAGTATGAATATAAAACACAATGCAATAAATGGTTTCACAGACACCTATTTCTTTATTGAATTTAGTAAAAATAACCGATTAACAAGTAATAAGTTCATTTGATGCCACAGTCGAAATTTGACAAAACAATTTTTAGATTTTAGCTTATTTTTAGACAGGTTTATAAACTTTGATCGGTTTTTATTTTCATTTCTGAGTTTTAGTTATGTTTAAACACAAATAAGTTAATAAATACAAATTATTCAGATTAAATTTAACGGTAGATTGAACATTCTTATACAATAAATGAGTTTGAAGGAATCGACTCATTTTTGAAAGCCAGCTTGTATAAACGAGCAAACACATTTTATGCGTACATTTTATCGCATTTTCATGTATCAAAAAATCGAGTATGAAAATCGCGAAGCCTGGTTTCTCTTATTCTCGCAAACCTGAACTACTATCTATCGAAAAAGAAATACATTTTCGAAGTTATTGAAGGTTTTATATTTTGTAAATAAAACAAAACAAAATTTAGAATTAAATGGTAAACAAATATAAGAAAGATTGCAACAAAATAAAAATAAAATTAGCAGCACCAACATTACAATATGCATCGGCCGGCAGCGGTAAAGTATTGATTATAACATTATCCTCCGAATATGGTACTAAACTATTCAAAATTTGTTACTGTTACATACGGCAGGCTAATATAGCCCGAAACGCATTCAATGATCACGGTTGTACACAGAAACAAATTTAACAGACGATTTTACAACACGATTTACAGTTCTTTTATTGAGATCTGGAGACATTTTCACTTGGACGTTTGCTGGAATTGCGCCTATGATACCATCCGCCATTCGCCTTGAGCAACATCATTCCCCGGATAGGTCGGATTTCCGACCTGTTCTGAAGATTAATCTTCACTGTTCGAATGATTTGAGTCTCTCATTGTGAAGTCTCTTTTCCTTCTGTCTACGGTTACAAAACCATATTCGCACCACTTCTTTCTCTAGGGAAAGTTCTCTGGCGATCATGATTATTTCAGGTGTAGTTGGTTTCTGCTTCATGTTGAAGTGTTTCTCTAGAGCTGCTTTGACAACCGCTTCAATACTGGTACGCTTCTTTCGTTTTCTTGTTCCGCCCGATTCCGACTCTATTTGGTCCGGATCACAGTTAGCAGACGTACGATCGTGGTCAGTATCCTGAAGCCATTTTGTCAGCAAAGGTTTCAGTTTGCACATATTTTTGAAACTGAGCTGAAGTGCCTCGAAACGGCATATCGTAGTCTGACTGAATACGTAACCGTACATTGAACCAAGTGCGAGACCTACATCCGATTGTGTAAAACCGAGTTTTACTCTGCGATGTTTGAACACTTTTGAAAATGATTTCATCTCTTCCATTGATATGTTGCTGATCGAGTCGTCGTTGTGGCTCATTTGAAAAAGCTTTTCGTCAGGTGATCCGTCTGGATTGCCTAGGTGTGTGATCGAACCAATTTCTGATGGGCTTTGGGCTGCTTGATAGTATTCCTGCTCGGTTTTCACCAACGGTGAGTGATAGTTGTTAGTGGTTGAACTTGATTGAAACAATGAGGGAGAATAATGAGACAACGGCGAGACAGTGTTACCCGGCTGTAAATTTTGGTAAGTGCTATACGGAGTAGAATAGCTAGGATAAGCTGATGTTGGAATGGATATCGGGGGTAATGTACTCGGTGTATGGAACGCTGAAACTGGTTGTTGGCGTGGATGATACTCGGTTACTGTACATTCAGAAGGATATGAGGTACGTGTGTGCATATTTGCGTACGGTACTGCGGCAGCAATCGTTGTATTGATATCCCTTGCTTCATATTGATTCTGTGGTGACGAGGAATTGAGGTATGATGAATATGCCGTTGTCGCCGGTTTATCCTCAGCTGGTGGATTTTGTATAGGATTGTAGTATCCTCTTTGGTATTGTGTTGGGAAAACTGGATAAGGACTGTATCGAGAATCGACATAATTACCACGAGTATACGGGTCGAAAATATAGTTCGATGTTGAGTGAACTAACGGCGATATTGCATGGTTGCGTGCTGAAAACGGGTTGCCAGTTTTAGTGTAATCGTAATCTGGCGTGTTTCCAACAGAAAGCCGCTCTTCTTGCTCTTTCTCTTGATTTGAAAACTTCATTACCGCATTGTCCTTCTGATGTTCTGGTGAATGACATTCGCTACCATCATCTTCACTAGATAATTTCTGATTTCGCGAGACGTCGTTGAGATCGGTAGAAGAATACATATATTGACTCGGTTGACACTCACTGCTCATGTTTGCATGGTATTGTGGCATTCTATATGTCGATTCGAATCCTTGGAGTTGGGCCAACATTTGAAAACTGTTTGCTGGTGACGAATTATTTTATAAATAGTATACCTGTTATAAACAGATTTCGAATCATAAACATGATTGTATAGCAATTACTTTTAGTTTATAAGCACCAATACCCACACAAATATTTCGCTGACATTATTTCCACAAGGATAAGCTATGTATAGTTTTTAACGCGCCTGATCGCTGTAGTGTTTTTACCGCTAACTAAAAGTTTACTCAACTCAAACAAGCATAAATATATTTCGAGCATCCAAATTTAGGCAATCCAACTTGAACAATTTTATTGAAAAAATGTTTATGTGACATTTTGGATAACAATTTTTCATGGTTTTTACTCTCATTTACCAGAGTCAGTTATAAAAAAATAACTATAGAAATGCATTTCTAAACATTCAAAATTTTAAATGTAAAAAAAGTAAAATTTTACTTATTATGAATTTTTTACATAGGCATATTGCATTTCAAGTTCATGCCCTATTTCACGACTACGCGACTTACTATTGTTCTAATATTTTTACAGTATGGTCTCAAGCGCTCTGTTTCAATTGTTTATGAAATTTAATGTTAAGATACCAGACCAAAGATAAATTGCCGTGTTAATTAAGTTTCATTGGTTGCGGCACAAATTTGGAGACAAACTGAAACTAAGTAATTAGAAATTTGCAAAAGCCAAAAAGAATTTCCTCGATCTAGTCATCCATTGCGTGAGGATGAAAATAATAAGAACAATATACAATTTATTATAAAAACTATTATCTCCTGTTCATCATTAGCTACCAATCACAATGCCGCTATTTCTCAACTGACAAACATGATGAAGAGACAGCGCATGACTTGTTATCCCGATGCCCTTTCACTTTTTCCCCCAAATTGGATTCTCATCGCATCATTAATCTCCATTGTTCGTCTCAGCGAGAGATATCTTTTCATTCGCTCATCAAGAGCGGGGCTTTTCGCTTCCCTGCTTTCTGAAACCCATGAGGTCGTTGTTTCAATTCGTGCCGTAGCCCATCTAACGCACAAATGCATCGTGGATTCCACGCGGGATGCGGGTCGATTTTAACACCTGTGTTTATGCATACTACACGTGATGCTTACACCTTTTGCGTTATTACCTCTTTGTGGGAGAATAAATTCGCCGCTACTCTTTTGTCTTTTACTGTAATTCCTTGCATCACAACTAACCTTGTTCTCATTAAGAAAAAGGTTGTTTATTGTTGATTTTTTCTCTCTAATTAATAACTAATTATGCAAGAGTGGTTATGTGTTACAGGAAATAAACAAAACCATAATGAAATAAAATAACTAACCAAAACGCATCTTGTAACGATACAAAATAAAGCCATAAAAGTATACAAATTAATTATGTCTTGTTTCATATTAATTTACCACGCTGTCGATAGTGATACAGACATCGAAAGTCATAAACATTATGAGTCTTTCGTGGTGAGATTGATGAAAGGATTCATATATATATATATATATACTTACATGAATTACAGTGTTAAACTTTAAGTTTCAAGTAAATATTTGATTAATTCAAGACAGAAATTCATTCAGTTTGTTGGTATGCAGTAACCGTTTGACACAAACCTTTCATCATTCGAACTATGCTTTAAATGTGTCTCAAATACGTGCAAAATCTTTTTATCGAGTTTTTTGTGAATAGTTTTCATTAGTGGTATTAGAGATGCATAGTAGGTTACTTGACCAACCTATAAATATAAGTTCATTCTTCAAGTTTCAATACAATTTCTTCTAAAGCGTAATAATTAATAGACTATACTCAGTGGCCGAATGAATAATGTGTATCTTTCATGGCTGGCACTGAAACGCGATGATGAATATTTTGTTGTCCAAAATGGACATCACGCAGAGCGTAGATGTGATATCATCATCGGTTCCGTCACCAGTGAAAGCCGGTCATTTGCTATGGTGTTCAAAAATTAGATACAATGAATCCGTTATCAAAAACTTAAAATCGAGCGCCCGAAAATTACATTCCAATACCTACAGTTTTAATGTCCCTTTTAACAAAATTTTTATGTGAAGCTAAAATAAAGCATGGTTTATTATTATCATACACACATTAGAAATGACATTGGATGGTGAGTAAATGAATATTTTCGTGGATGTGGTTTCGGATAGTAGCCGTGATGACACAGGTCCATTGGCCCGAAGAATCAGTCTCGTCCTAGAATGCTATTTTATGTAAACTATTTCGCAATGCAGTATAAACGTTATGACAGTGCATATGAATCAGTCACGCTTTCTAATAAGCTCACATTGAAAAAGCATTTAAATGTAATTTTTCCACGAAACCGTTTTTTCTCTTCCTTCGGTCACTAAGACGAAATTGCTATTACACCAAAACAGCAATAACGCGGTTTGCGTGAGCAGATCCTACAAGCCGACCCGAACAGAACGACGTTTTCGAGCGCCTGCTGTGGGGTCCAAAAATTGTTTGAATGAATCAACAGTGAAGGCCTTCGGCAGATTTAAATGCGCTCTTACATCATGTGACTGCTGAAAAGCAACGACAGGTATGGAAATGTAGTGGTGACTTTGTAGAGACATATTTAAATTATATACGTAGCGTAACTTTTTATTAACAAGAATATTAGTCGGTGACTGGAATAATTTTAGGCCTCCGGAGATGCTTGGAAGTCTTTGACAGCCTGTAACTGGCTGTTGCTGCACCCAGTTAGCCAATATTTGTCAATGCAATCATGACGAAAACATGTATATCACAGGCAATTTACACGGACTCGGGCAAAATGATGAATTTGCTTCCTTTGTTTCAGATAATGGGTGTTAAATAAGGGTTAGTTGTAACAATTTTGATTTATAAACTCTCAGATGGCAAAGAAGCGAATCCGCTGACGACAGATACGCGGTTCTCCGTTATTTGACTACTCAGATGGTCATCACTCACGTGATTGTAGTCACTCACGTGATGCTTGATTGATTCACATGTTTTGCCTGGACGGAGTTGTCACACATATATACTTTGTGCTATATATATATTCTTGAGATAGTGAACGTGGTTTAGTTGTTAAAATTACTGCAATTTATCATCGAGAGCCTAAGCAAATATAAAAGTTGTCAAACAAGCATTATCTTTCTGGTTGATTTAAGACGTCGTCAACCAAAAGATAACAATAACTTGTAGTGGCTAATAATACTCTTTTTGAAGTGGTCTAACGGGAAAAGTTGACCTAATTGGAAGTATTTGAAGCGAAACGATGTTAGCTCATGTTTCTGTTTTATCTGAAGTTGTCGCGTGGCAATGACGGATGATTTGCTTCCAAGTCAATCGGATTATTTTTACATTATTTAGACCAAATATGCGATAAAATGTATTTGACAATACGTAGTCTGGACATCAAATCAAATGTGGTAAGCTACTTCATTTTATTCTTCGCAATGGCTGAATCAACTGCATATAATAATTTTTTACAATGTGATCTTGAAGTCCAAAAACTTCGGCGCGCCGAGTACTGATAAAATTATTTCACTTGAGTAGGCTGTAAGCATTTGCTTTCGATATAACCAATATTCTGACTTCTTCTCAATTATCCCATAGAACAGCTATAACTTTAAGATGTAAAACCAAAAACATGCAGTTTGGGCTTGGTTCCTTGAGTATTACCTTTTTGGGTCAAAACATATTTGTGAACGTATACCTTCGGCAGCGTTCAATTTTCGACCTTACACTATGTAATTTAGGGCTGGCAATCGAGTCGAATAATAAATATTCTAATCGGTTCAGACAAAAATTTCGAATCCCCGCTAGCCTCGTTTTTTTGTCCGCCAAAGGTCGAGGTGAATCCCTTATTTTTTTTGCCATTCGGAAATATTACTCTTATCTAACGAGTTATTGATGCAGTATATTTCTTAATTTTGTATGTGTGAAAACTCAGCGAACTGATGGAGCGATGTTATTCAGTAATTTATGTGTCAGGAGGAACCATTACAGTGAAAAATCACATATAATTACATATCTTTCAAGTACTCGAGATTTGATTCGGAAACAAATTCGATTCGTTCTGAAATCATCAGGTATTTGAAATGCCCAACCCTGGTTTGATGCCATCAACATTTTATAATATCATGCCAACCTTCAAAAATTATTTATATATATATATATATATATTTATTTATCTAACAAAATAAACAGAAGCAAGTAGGCCAAACAAAAACAGAATGAAATAACAATCAGCGTGCTACTTCAACGTGGCAAGATTGCGTCAAATTTCGCTGGATTGAAAAATGCAGATAATGTACATTTTGCGAAGTCTCCAATAAATTTCCATAATACTTAGAGTTATAGATAACTGAATGTTTTGAGTATTCCAGATGAAATATGGTGCCGAAGTGTGAAGGTGTTTTTCATGTCTTGAGGCAGTAATATTCCAGGTAAAGGCTGTTAAATCAATCTAAATTTTATTAATATATTGAACTGTTAGTTTGAAATAGCACTGACAGAATGGATAAATATAAAACTGAATTGCAATGGGATTGAATAGGGGCCGAAATTTATCAGTCTTGTATTTAATATTTTACGATACGATTAACACATTTATCCCGGAGAGTGGTAAGCCGATAAGGGTTAATCACATGGCAAACTACAGCTTCTCGTAGGTTACCATAGTCATTGTCGGATATGGGATCAGTTAGCCCTCTATTTGTTTCAGATGCGTGATGGGGGCAGGTAGTAGAGGAAGCCTCCACGCCACTGAGTAGTAAAATCGCTCAATTATTTGTTTCAATCAAAAATAAATATAATATACCGTACCCAAAGTTTAAAACCCAAACTTGATTAAATCCACCGACAGTGCGCTTTGATTACCTCTCCTCACCACCATGAAACCGACCGATACTAAGGAGATGCTAACAGGACAAAAGTACCCTACCAGTATACCAACTATTGCAGAAATCGGAAAAGTATACCCTCGTGACATTGGTGTATTCTGCTGACTTTGATAGGTTGATTCCATGATTGTCGAGAATCTATAAAAATAATAGAAACAGTATTTATATAAAAATTGAGATCATAATGACACCAGAGAAAAATTTAATACGTGAAACCGTGTCTTACTTTTTCTAGTGCTTTTAACCACGTCGTTTTTGAAATCGTGTAAGAGATTGGAAATATCTTCTGGTGAGACCCCAGGAAAGGTCATGGATATAACTCTGATAGCTTAACGTTTTAAATCAATATTTTCAGCAGGGACTTGAGTTTTATTGTCATTGAATTCGGTTTTCGGTTGGTAATATTTCTCTTTGGAGTCACCAGGCGAAAAATGCTCCTCATAAGATTTGGCATAGTTTTCTTCTGGCGAAATAGTACATGTTTTAATCATTGGCGACAATGATGGAATTCTAATTGTATTGGTAACATTTTCATCACTAATATATATATATAACGTCCACATATATATGCTTACTCGATTATCATTTCACATAAACTGGTAGATACCCTCGGCAACACTTCTATTTTATAGTTACGTTTTCGATGCCATTTTTATAACTTAAGATAAGACAAAATATGTATGAAATTACCATTGTATAGATTTACTTACTTTACTAACGTGGTTATAACGCATGAACAGCTGATAACATTGTTTTAAATGCATAATTATTGGAAATTCGTCAACTATAAAGTTGTTTGCATTAGTGCACTCACTTCACAAAGTTATCTTTTGTACAAACTTGCAATTCATAATTTATTTCCTGTGAAAAGCAATCAATCCAAATCTATTGTGTTTACGATTTTAAAACCAACTCTTTAATTTTGAAAGTCTCAAGATAGTTTTTTTTTGTTTAATCTTTGTATGGTATGTAGTCACGTAGCAGCTCTTAATGTTTGGAGAAACACGTCATATACAAATAAATATAAACAACATTAAATATAAATGAACAATATACCAGAACAGCATGGTTTCAAGGATTGGCACATTCTTTATTTCTTACAACAACTCTTTATAATATAATCTCAGTTCGGTTATTAGGCGCCAAATCTTTGGCTTGAAGTTGAGATCGAAAGCATTATTTCTTGGATT